TGGGCGGGGGGGGTTGATTCCTCTTGAGTCACGATTGACTACCCTTACTCCAACTTCAATATGACCAAAGTCAATTGGTTGACGTTTATACAATCATTACAATAATCACCCTAAACGGATGGTCGGGTATTCGATTAGGCCTTGCAAGTTTTGCTTATTCCTCCATACTACGTCATATATCGTATTTGAAAACATCCCTGCGTAAGAACAAAACCTTAAGGTATCTTTGAAATGTATAGGGTGCAATGTAATACGCAAAGGAAACCCTTGATAGCGCCGGTAGTCCGGTAGCATTTCCGGGGTAGCATAGTCTGTACCTCGTGTGAAATTACAAACGCCACCCTTAGCCATGGGTCTATGCTGGAGAATTCACCCTTCGTCTACAGCTTCGTATACAGAAGGGGGTAAGCTTTGTTCCACAGCTCTATCGTTGATCCTATCGATTTATTGAGGACCGTAAGCCGATTACCCGGCCACTGCATTATAATTGCGAGCGATTATTAACTCTCGTAATCATCCGACTTTACCGTATTTACGGTCCCGTTACGCAATGCGTGTAAAGTGCGCTATTAACCCTCAGCCAACAATTATATGCATTCCATTACAATTTGACTAGAGGTCGGTGCGAGCAATTTCAAAATTTCTTTATTGATCCCCTAAAGCTATGACCGAATAGTTAATTTTTTTTTTGGTCACTATTTCTCCAGTATACTCAAAGTTTAACGTTCCTGTAATTTATCTTTTGTTTAACATTATTTTTGTTCCTTTGTCTCCTGCATTTCGCATAAATCAAGAGAGAAACTTTCGCCAAGCTCTATTAATTCTCTGGTATCTCGAAAAAATGCTTGCAAATCCCATTTCTCTTTGTTCTTTCTTCCTCCTCACTTTGTTCTCTCTCTTTTGCTTTGCCTCTCCATTTTTCGCCAGACTTGCTCGTTCTTTCTGATGATTCGCGAAACTCCACCGAACACGAAAAGCTCAACTTTTTAACGCCCAGTGCACCGTGCAGAAAGTCCGCCAGGTGCAAGCACAGTTGCTCTCTCGAAGAAATGGGAGAGAGGTTCAACTTCTAGTGTTTAAGTTCTTTGTTTAAGATGATAAATGTGACCGACGCTCAGCGAGCTTTAGCATAAAATAAAGCGCTGAAGTATTAAGTAGAGCTTATAGACGAGAGTCATAACGATTCACCCTCTTCAGCGGAAAGTGGTTCTGACGATGCAGGGTGCCCTTTGACAGAGAAGAGTGACAAAAAAGAGAAAACTTTTGTCATCGGTACCCCAGGTGCCAGATACTTATCATTTCACGAGCTCCTCTGAGCAATCGTCAACTTTATCTTTATTCGTTGTCCCTTACTATGTCTGCCGGAATTGACCTCCGCATGTTTGAAACACGTGGGCGCTGCACAAACAGTCAATTGTCAAATTACCATGATCAGTGCCGCATTCCCAAAAGGCGAAAGGGGCGAAATAAAAATTGAAATAGAAATTTCATAAAACGAACCAAGGCAGAACACTAAACTATACTACCCCTGACGTTGGCCTTTTTTCGCATCCTTTTATTCCCTTCCTTGTACGAAAAAAGAACTCGAAAGTCGACGCGCGGTATTTTAGCAGAAACATTTAGCGCGATGCTCGAGGCAACCCCAGACAGGAGAACTGAGTGCCGGAGCAATTATAAGCAGCGCCGGAAGTCACCCTTCCACGTCCCGTTTCACCGACTTCCTCCGAGCATATAGCGCAGTGCCCCGGGGTATTTTGCCGCCCCCATAATTATATTTCTCCCTTCAGCCGATTTCGTCGCTGCGCCCAGCGAAAATGTCAATACCAGCCATGATGCCTCTGATATTCGCATCGTGAATTCCGACGTGACATCATCCCCATGAGAATAGCCCCTTAAGCATACCTATCAACATTCTAATCATTGAACGTAACATCAACAACGACTTACGTTTTCAACAGTGGGACTCGGCAGTGCCCATTGCACGGTTGATGAACTTGCAGCTGCTGCACTGGCAGGTCGTCTCTTGTTCACAAAATCCACAGGCAAACTGTAGTCGTCGCATAGAGAGATCTAAAATTAAAGAGAGAACAAATCCTTTGATCAGACTTCATCTCAATAACTTGAAGTTGATAACAACAGGAAACATATTACCTATATCAATAATATTAACAGGAGCCAAAGTATTTCTGTCACTCAACAAATCACCTGATAAGTGTCATTTACCTACCACTGTAGTCTAGTACGACGAACAGAGTATAGTAGTGCGCTTTAGAGCTCATCAGCGATATTTACTGTCTGGCGGAGAATTGATCTATCGGTTTTCACGTACTTTACTCGTCGATCATACGTATATGCAGCGATAGATATGTAACTCAATGTGCATTGTGTATATACGTATATATAAATCGAGACAATCGTGAATCCCCGAGGGCGGCTTATCGCGAAGGGGAGCTTGGCGTGGCCAGGGGTTTTATTCCGCACCGAGACCCTATATGCAAATGGCCTGCGTTTATTGTGAGCAAAGAGTACCCGAGTCCCTGTATGGATCCGCAAAGTGGGGAGACATAAAAATATAAAAAAAAAAAAAGTACAGCACATCAAGGAACGGATAGCTAATGGCAGAGAAGGGAATAAACGCCGTGGTATCTGTAAATGGAAAAATGCATGATTCGCAAAAAAATTGAGATTCGAGACGAATTCTCATATTGGAATTAACTACATTGGCCACTGTCAGTATCGTATATTAGGCATTAATATAGATATCGAGTTTACTCTAACGTTTCCTGAACTTGCTCGGCTTCCCGCAAAGACCTCTTCCCAGCATTCTTACTAACCCCTCATATGCACCTGCATACATATATGGAACGTACAGTAGAGGAGAGAGTCTACTTGGGGTGTAAAAAGCAAACACGATTTTGCTTGTACAGGGAAAGAATACATGAAGCCTACCGAGGATGTAGGTCGATGGACTTTACCTAGGGAATCCCTTTAGAATAAAATTCATGGTATAGTCAGTTAGCCGCATGTGTAACGAATTCTTTTTTCAAGTGTTCGGAACAAACAAAAATTTATTTTGTTGAGAAAGCCGAAATCGTATTTAAAACAAAAAACTTTTGAAAATCAGTCCATACATTATTCTACATGAATTATCTTGCAATGATCGACGTACGACAAAACGACAAAGCTCATCCATTCACATTCCTTCTCCTTCACTCTTTTTTACATATTGCACTTATATTAACAAATCAAAAATTGGCCATCTAATAAATATTATATAAATTCTTATCTTAATTCGATTTCCTTTCGTTCCCAGATCCCTCGTGGCGTTCGTCAATGATTATTCAGAAATACGGGTTTGCGCTTGAGCGTCGTCGATTCAGACACGTGTTCACTGCCTACGTGTTTCTCCTCTTGTTTGTTTTTTCAATATTTTAGTAAATTATTTTGTGTTGCAACGTCAAATTCCCGGGCCCTGTTGCCTGGTAATAAGTTAATACACGAGGATTGTATTAAATGTTAATATACGATATTTGAACTAAGTGTGATTGGATGAATACCTGGCTCGTCGAACTGACACACGTGTCACCTTAGACGGTTGTTAGTCAAAAGGGACGAGCCAGGATTTCTTCCGATGAAGATGAAATCGCAGCGAACGGAGGGGGGGGAGAAACGATATTGGTGCGATCTATTGCCTAGATTCATTACCATGAAACAGGTATGACCTGTCGGTAATTCGTCACACATGCAAAGAATATCTCGGAAGTATAGCTGTCGGTTTTCGGGGATACCGATTTAGCGCCGACGTAGGCAAAGATCTTTCGTCCGAATAAAAAAATGAAACCAAAGAACTCTAATCAGTATGTTAAACAGACTAGAATTTTTCTTTTATTCCTTTTATGTCGAGTGATTTGTGAAAAGGCAATATGGTTTGACGATTTGTAGGAATAGTTATTCTTTAAAATGTTGATAACATTGAGGTTGATCCTGATGCGATTTCTATGTCCAAATTACAATATACAAAAGTTAATGCTCGTTAACTAGGAACGAGACTCAGGATTGGTTAGCAAGGTGATCTCGACATCGTTCATTGTTACAAGGAGGAAACAACCCTTGGCTATATATGTTATTCGCGCGGATTCCGAGCGGCCGAGATTAAACGGAATATTTAGCAAATATTTCGCATAAATCAAAGCGATGCAATATGTTCTGAGTTTGGAGTGAGGCTATGTAAATTCATGGTAATACCGTTGGCTACCCTGCGGAGAGAAGCTCGAGTGGAGGTAGGGATACAGAAGAGAGAGAGAGAGAGAGAGAGAGAGAGAGAGAAAACAGAAGCTAGGGGCTGTAGGGTGAAAGTGCGCCAGGGGGTGGCTCTGCTGTATTTCATGAACCCCTAAAGCAGCTCTGAGCATTGGTGCAACCGCCACAATCCCATTCATTCTCTTTATGGGCTCCAAGTATTTGGCGGTTTGAATAAATCGGAAATTTGCCCTAGGGGCTTCGTCGTATAACCCTTATTTCTTTTTTGACCTTCGGCCGTCGGCAGATCTTGGTACCCCATAGAATCTTCAAGTCATTTTCTACGTTTTATATGTTCTCGATTCATCCGGTTGCTATGGAACTTTGAGGTTTGGGGAAGTTTCGTAAATTTTCGGAGCATAATAATAATAATCAATATTTCACGATGGGGCAATATAACATTAATAACTTTGTTGTATACCAAGCGAACGACGAATGGAATGTTATGGTGGGGCGGTGAAATTCTTGACGTGCAGAGGCAACCCCTAGAGAAGATATCCTTCCCCATCGAGATCTCCAGAAAGGCCCGAGGGTCGAATTTTTGATTAAACGGTCCACGTGCTTTTGCTTCTTCAGGATTTTTCGTCGACGTCCCAAATTTTCAGTTGCATTCCACTGCTTATCCTACTCCGTCTTAATCAATTTGATAAGACCCAATCTGGTCTGATGTTTCGGGAAACGGATTAATTAATCTCAATACATAATTAACGCCAACAACTACAAGGGCGGGTTAGGGCATCTTGTGTCTTGAATTGACAAGAGGGTTACCATTTTGTTCTCCAGAATCTCATCGAGTTCAGGATCATTTGTAATCGACCTGAGCCTCATTTAGAGTTCAGATTAGTAAAGGTTCAGGTTCTCAATATTCTTGTATTAATTGACTAGAGTTTCGCCCCATTTTTCGAACCTCGGTTCATCTTATCGGATAAACGAGGGATGAAATATTTTCTTCGACATTAGAGAGAGAGAGAGAGAGAGAGAGAGAGAGAGAGAGAGAGAGAGAGAGAGAGAGAGAGACAAATATTTTTCATTTTCAATCGCGTAGACTCTCGTCATTGCTATTCGGAACTATGGTCAAAATATCATTTTGTTTGCTCTACCTCTCTGGCGGAGACTTTGATTTATTTGAGAGGATGTGCCAGGGCTTTTATCTTGTCATGAGAAATAATCCGGTCGACTCTTAACCGGCCTAGAAAACCGTGAGGCTTTATCAATCAATATAAGCAGAACGCGTATAAGGGGTGAGTTGACAGCCCCTGGAAAACGCGTGTCGCTAAAAGCCCGGAAGACCTTTGACCCTCGAGGACTCGCGTCAGGTTCACTTTGTCTGACGCTAGTTGTGAGAATGCGCCTCAGGACAAAGAATCCTGGCAGATATAGAATTTTTTCGGTGCGTGGTAATAGATGAGACCAACTTCTTGAAATATCCTTACAGAATCCTCTTTCCGTGGACCATATCGTAGTTTCTTAAGAATGTCGATAGCCTACGGAGCTCTTTGTCGTCTGAAACAGCGACGCAACACGATGACGTGCAAATGAAAAATTTCAGTGAAATTGTCAAGTGGCAATAGGTAATTGAAGAAAATGAAAATAAAAGGAATGGAGACCAATCCGTAGTACTGCCTCGTGTCTTGCGCCCTCGTTGTCCAACTAGGCAGGATAAATACGTAAAAGTTTAACGGGCGAATTGGCAGGACACGGGAGAGAACTTACTCGAAGCAATTCAACATCATTGCGAGTCGTCCCCAAGACCTTTGCCATTCGCGTAGCAGCCCCTAACATTTTCGAGCCCTTCTAAGGGTTCCGACGAACACAACGGTACCCCTGCACGTATTCCACGATACGTATACGTGTATGAATTCGACAAGAAAAAATATAAGCTCGGTACTCGAGTATGCGTCAGACAGCTCGTATTTTTCTCAACTCGTTATATTATATTATAAGTCCTCGCACATTGGTTGACGAGTTGAGTAAATCCTCCAATCGTACCCCGTCGTCGAGACGCCGCTGGGACATTACTAAAAATAGAAATGATAGAAATGAGGGTGTCGAGAAGGATAGTGGAGGATAGCGAGAACTCCGAGGCCTCCAGGATTTATCATCCTGATTTATTTTCACTTGGTTTTCGGCTAAGAGCTCTCGCGAATCCTGAAGGATGCTGAGTCGAGAGAATAGGACAAGAGAAATAGACGAGTTGAAATAAAAGTAAATTTTATCTCTTGCCAAAAAAAAAAAAAAAAAACAAACAAACAGTATATGTAAATTACTATTCGAGATTTAGGGTGGTTTTTGTCGTTATATAAAATGCAGCACGTGACTCCCTTTCGTTTATTGACTAATCCAATCAATCTTAGAACGACGGATGTACTTAGTCTTTTTGTTACTTCTCAAGTCCTCTGCGGACTCGCTCGAGGGACTCAAAGGAACTTGGAACTGTCCTCAAAGTCCGACAACTGCTGCTACTGTCCGGTGGTAAAGTTAGGAATGAAATACACTAGTGTACAGTAGAAAGCTATGCGATGAAACGCGGACCAAGGGTTGGCACAACAGCCCCTAATCATCTGGATTTCCTGCCCTTTCGTGTCCTTGGGTATCCTTCAATCTGCCCTTACTTCCTTCTCCTCCACTGACTCTCTCCAGTCCCTTTTGCCGAGTAAAGGACCATCGTACAAAGCGAATCATTCTGGAAAATCCTTGAAGATTGGAAGACTTACAGTATCTGTTAAGGGGCCGACAGAATTTCGCTTAAGCAGTCACGCTCAATTATATTG